GCGATCCGATCGTTCGCTGGTGACAGCTTTTGCAGCTGTTTTCGTTGATCACTTTAATCTGTGGCTGTCAATCCACGATTGTGAAAGTCACGCGCATGGATTGCCGCGCATGACTTACGCGATCTCAAGCCATGTGGTGGCAAAGGATGGCACATCGCACACCGGCGAATCGTGAAATAACCGTGCATTAACGGATCTCAAATTCGCACCAATTGGAATCACCACAACTGAACTTTACATCGGGGCGTTTAACGCAACGTTCAATTCGCTTCAACCATCTAAAGCGGCGCGATCGTTGGTACATGTAACTAACGAATACGTCTGCCTCAACTTCCAACGCACAGAGGTAACTTTCTCCTTCTGCCTTGTGCAATTTAAAATGAAAGTAGGATTTAGCATTATGTCGAAGCGTGGACGTATACAATGTGCTTGAAACACCCAACACGGGCATTGCACATAGAGACAACGTCACAGTTAATCGAGAAGGGATATCTTATTTTCTACCAACGGGCCAGCAGACCGCGCGTATAACCATAACCTGGCAAGTTATCTAGACGCTTCTCGTTGGCCTCCATTTTAAATGAGATCGTTCCGCCGTGTATATCCCATCTAGTATCGATGTTAGCGAGATACCTACTTCACAGAATAAATGCTTAACAACAACACTGCTTGCAGTTTGAAGTGCTCCTCGGATGATTTTGGATTAAATTTTACGTTTTAGCCGATCAAAATGCAGTATTGTGGAAAATCTTAAACAAAAACTGCAGTTTTAGAAAATAAATCGGGGCGTTTTAACGTGAAGATAAGTGCAGTTCTAAAATCTCAAAAAGCACTTGTTTAGTAAAGTACGGTATGAGTCAACAGCCGCAATGTTGTCCACCACCAGCGAGCCTTTCCGGCAACCACTGTATCAATACCAGCTTACTGATGGGAGAATTAGAGCTTGCGGTATGTAAAACAGTACGGTTATGCTAACACAAGCATTTTATTGTAAACCACTCCAATTTTGAAGTTTCCAATGATGCTATGAGTCAGGAGGCCGAAGAATCAGCTGATTGTCTCTGAAAAGAGGACAACCTATGGTACCAATATCAAATAGCTCGTGGGGTCTACATTGGACTGTATTTATTGTGCTTTGCAATGATTTTGGCAATATGGGGCGAAATTTGCTGTATTTATAACGACCACCTGCTAGATTTACGATAAATCGAGGTGCATAAATGGGTGGAGGCCTAGAATTAAATGGTACACATGTATGAGCAAATGTATTGAAGTGTTGGTCTATGACCTACATAGAACGCAGCTAAAGCTCAGTAGGGGAACGGAAGGTTAATTCACCTTCGCCCTCGTCCTGTGTCTCTCCACGAAAATCCAGACGCTCGCCTGGTGCAGCGGTACAGTGCTTCCCGGTCTCATCGCTATCCTCCTGCTCATGAAAGATTAACTTGGACATGATAAGGTATGTTATTGGGGTCTATTCAGTACCGGTGGTATATTTTGAGGGTGGTCCTTCATCGACAGCACTTAGGTATGAGGGTTTAACTTGCCCCGAGGGTACCAATATGGAGGCCAAAAATTAAATAAATAATTCGCGATTTGGTCGGTACATGTATCATTTGCGGGAACCCGGGTTCCCGCCAATTGTTTCACATGCTAACATGTAAAATGCTGTTAGAGGCGAGGAGTCGGAAAAGCTGTCGCTGGCTATGTCGCCGGCACCCCATAACTATTTACGCATGCTTGCAGCTATAGTCGAGTGTATGGATAGTGACATTAAGGGGTGGTCCGCACAAAAAGTAAAACGATGATCACGCCCTTAGACGTCTTTCTCAATTTAGTGGTCCTGGCCCCAGCCACTCCGCGTGTTGTGGTCGTTTACCTCCCAACTTAAAAAAAAGAAACAGCTACTATACAGCAGCTGTGAATCTCTGCATTTGGCGCCTTGATTTTGCGTTCCATACCATGAAATATCCGACTATAGGACCTATCCGACCTGTACCAAAACCATGGTACCCTAGAAGGATGGACTCTAAAAACAAATATATAAGTTTGTATATTATGTTGTGGGCCACACCGATTACACTTTTGCTCATTTTTATGGGAAACGTCAAAAGGTGTATGCGTTGGGAAAACGTTTGTCAATAGGTGTAGTGGTCGTGGGCGTCACGTCGCGTCATGTCTCATCATACACGTACTGACACACGTTTTGGTTGCCGCGGTATTTCGGCCGAGGTCGGGTCATACAGACCCAGGATCGAGCTTCCAAGCACAGTAGTTTATTACGACACGCTCGTAGCGAACACGGTCAACTAATAATAGCATATAGAGCAACTGTACTCGACAACTTCGCTATTGTGTCTATAAGGAACTACCAACGCAAACCGCAAGCGTCTATAGCATGGCTGTACTAGGTAGGTTTTGCATCTGAATTTCGGAGGTGAAGGAGCTCTAGTGAGAGCCCCCAACCGGAAGAGAGTGTAGGTATTGTAGAACTGTGGCAACGCTGAGGCCTCGCTACAATGGATAACGACGTTCATTGTAGTCCCTCAGCCGTACAATTCGCTATCAAAGTCATGGACACCACGAACCGGGCTAGTTGCATCAGGTAGAAGCCTTCCTAACCCCGGGTTTTATGGATTTGGATCTAAGCCCACACACCAGTCACCGCATTCGTTGCTGATGCAGCTTTATCATGCACCTTAGTGCGCTTGGAACCACATACACATACTGTCATACCGACAACCTAGCATACACCTAATGACACGAGTTAACCGCTTTTGACAAAACGTTTCAAATTCATACATCTTTTGACATTTTCCCCATTTTTATTCTAGCGTTGGGTGGCGGGCTTGCGTGGAGGGCAGAGTGCCGGAGGCCGCGGCGGTGGCGCCGAGGGAATCCGGCCGCAGGAAGGCAGCGGCAGGTAGCAGGCTCCAGGACGACGGTGAAGCCGCAGGACGACGGCGGCAGGAAGGACTGGCGAAGCGGTGGCAGGTCGGCGGAGCGGAGGCAGGTCGGTGGCTGGCTGGACGGCGAGGCGGCGGCGGCAGGGAGGCAGCAGTAGGACGTCGACTGGTTGGTGGGGCGGTGGCGGGGCGGACGGCTGCCCGGAGAACCTTGATGACTTGCCACCACGCTGCATTGTTATAAGATTATTCGTTATATAATAAACGTATATTTAATAAAACTCCTCCACTGTTAATGTACATGCCTAGCGGCTTCCCTTACGCGCTCATTATACACACCATGCACGCTCATACATTGCTACATCACGACGTAGAGATGGCAATTTTCAGTTTCAAATACTGCATATGTACCTCAATTATGGTGCAGGTCCGATAAGGTCGGATAAATGGGATATATGCGTGTGATACGAGTTTATCTAAGAATTTGTATAGACATACAGAAACTCTGCCATGACCTCCCTATGATTGGCGCAAATAAATACAAATGCTGTAATTGGCTGTTAATAGGCATACAATAAATAAGTAAGGTCGGATAACTCGTCATATTCAACCATATATTTTTGCAGCGAGCAGAGCCAGATCCACTGCGTTGTATTTCATCGTACACCCAGTTTTGATGAGTCCTTATAATTAAAAGCTTCGGCTTGGCTCCCCACTTCACCTCTCTTTTGAGCTGTGGGCCAAGAAAAATGGTTGTGAGATCGTGAGCTAATGTATGTGATACATACCTTTGAAACATCAGCATATGTACATGTATATGAAGCTTCCAGGGTCATCGATGTTTGGCTCTGAGTCAACCGGTACATGTATTCATTACTGAGCGGTCCTTCAAGCCCGGCGAGTGGATCCGGCTGAGTCAGGTGGGCTTCCCGACAGGACTCACGACTTCGAGCAGTGCAGATGTAACAATTGGACTTTGCTCGAATCATCGCGCATGCGGACTGCATACTGCAGTCTCGATCGATTGCACTTTTCTTCTTTGTGTCCTTCACCATACAGAATATTACTTTCTTCTTGAGATGTGCGCCAGCCGCTTCGAGAGACCAGGCTTCAAACCAATTTTGACTAAACTTACAAGTCTCCCATAGTTTGTATTAGGCCGAAGCACAGGCCAGCTGTTTCCACTGATTTTTCGTCACCTGTGGCACGTAGATATGCTTCAAATCGTGGGTTTGGAGTTCGTACAAACAACGCCTTACAGGTTACAGCACCCTTAGCGCCCTGCGACGGAAGTAGGAGTACTGTAGTGAGCTCCAGATTTAATACTGCTCATGTTGAAGGAACCATTGCATGTATTTGGTGGATGACACTATTCATTTTCGACTGAAATCGTATCGTATGCGGCTAGTACATGTACGAGCCGAACAAGCAAGTTTCCCTGATAGGTAACTTCTCAAATAATCGATATCACAGAGTTTGACTGTTGCCCCAAATTAAAGAAATTAAAAGTTGCAAGTGAGCGGTGATTAATGGCGCGGGGTCCAAGGACGTTGAGAGAGCCTTCGATCTGAACTAAAACTCCTTAGAGCTGAACTAACAGTCTTGTCAGTGAACAAACATCCTGATAATAGAAATGAAGTGCTAGGGGGTGAACATAAGCGCCTGAGTGGTGAACTGAAGGGGTGAAGGAGAGCAAGGTTGCCTAGTCCCTCCACGTGTCAGCCGGCAGAAAAGGAAATGCTTCTCTTGCTCTAGCGAGTCGGTGCCAGTGACATCGAACCTGCGTGCACCAATGAGCAGCACGGGTGATGAAGCGTCTTGGCCATCCTTTTGAGCGCCATCGTCTTGAGGTTAGCACGCCAAGGGCTTTGTCTATTATGTGCTAGATCGAATGGGGTGCCTATTTTTATTAAAGAAGAACTAACTGCTAGAGTTACTCCGGGCTCGACGGCGTTTAGCTTTGCCTTTTCGTTTGGATCTGGCCGGGCGGATAGAGCTATCGCCAGCTTCGGCTTCCTCGCTACCATCACGCAGCGTGTTTGCAGATACATACGAGAGGACGTCCTCCACGTCGAGCCACCCTAACGCGGAAAACGTTTGCATTTTACCTGGATGTTGGTCCCGCGTCAAGTAGATGTCAGAGAAGCTTTTGTCTTCGCGACCTGCTGCAATCACCTCGTGCAGTTTGCGCCGAGCTCTTGACTCGTCGTCGCGCCACTTGGCCACCATGTCGGACACTTCATCCTCCGATGACAACAAGGCAACAGTTGTTGCGTCTTCGATAGCTGTAGCCGCCGCTCGAATTGCACCAACAACAGAGCTTCGGCTGTCCCCTGGTACCTGCCAACCTACGTCGCTTATTAGGCAGCTCAGTATCGTTGAGACCGATCTTAACGCTTGCTTGGCTTCGTCCGACG